GTCAGGGGTGGAAGGGAGCTCCCCCTGAAGAGCTGTGGTGCAAGAGCCACATACTTCTCAAATGGTGGTTAAACTGTCAAAACAAGGCTTGCCTGGGCTCTAGGAAGCTTGTTCTTGGCTCTTCATGTGGAAGGACTGTCATCCCTGATTCCTTACCCACGGTGTGAGGAGCCCAGAGCATGGCCAAAGCGCTGAGAGTGTCAGCTGCAGATGGATTTACACAGTCTGCTACATAGTGTACACTCATTTTCACTCTCTCTCTGTGATTGGAAAGAGAGCAGTGTTCCTGGCTTTTTTTCCTGGTTTCAAAGCCATATATTTGTACAGGGCTTTTACCCTGGCTGATGTGATTACAAAGGAAATAGTGCAGTAGTCCCTCAAATCGAGGGAAAAGAGCAAATCAAAACACACATCAGTCTTCTTAGCCAGAGTCCCAACTGCCATAGGGTTGGGAAAAATGCCATGCACATGATTTTGCTGCATGTTAAAATGAAGGGAAGGGAAATGAAAAAAGTATATCACCATGTCCTTTAAAAATTTGTACCTACAGAGTTGAAGCAACCACAAGTGATGCTGTGCAGATGGTTTTTCTGCTGCCAGGGAGAAGTGCAGTGGGGCCAGAGTCTTTTAATCTGTCATGTATATAACTGAAGATTTACAGTTGGAATCAGACTTGAAAATAGCTTTTCAATTGCAGAGTCTGGCCCATCATAATGGCTTTCATTCAAAGCTTTGTCTGGGTAGAACAACAGCTGTTCTGCCTGTGGTTTTTCTTGTTTTATTTTATTTTTAGAATTTTCTCATATGTAAAATGCCACAAGATGGACACAGACTGGAGACCTTGTGGTGATATCTGAAATAAATAAAGTGCTCTCTTTCTCCACAGAAGGAGAGAGTTGATTTAGCTAGTGAAGAGCCCTGACCTCGACTTTTGACCACCTTCCCACTCCTAACATGGCTAATCTGGATAAAATGGGACGCTGAGATTCAGTCTGCCTTTGAAATCAGTTTTTTCCTTGAAATCACCAGCTGGTGACTGTTGAGAGTCCTGAAGTTTTGCACCTAAAGTTAAAAATTGGGGAAAGCCAGTGGCTGGTCATTTAAAAATGCCACTTTTTAGACAAATTCAATGGAATTCGAAATTGCAGTGTCTCTGGTGTTCAAATTCAACAATTGTCTGTTTTTTAAAAGTAAAGTATCTCCTTTTTATGTCACTGATCCCTCTTTTGCAGCATCTGTACATTTCTGCAGCTGTTTGTTTACTAAAGATGCATGTTTGACATTTCATAAAGTGCACCTGTTCAAATGTAGATACCAACGGGAGTTTAGTATGGAAACAGGAGTTGCAAGTCCAAATACTGCTGTGGACGTATTTCCCACTGCAGACAGTGTTTTGTTGCTTGGAGACACAGTGTATGTTCTTGTTTTTAATCTTTCTTCCAAAGTTGAGCTCTGTACATCTAATACAGATGGAAAACTAGAAAATATTCAGTGTTTGAAAACTTGTGTAGGAGGAAAAGGACATGGAGGAAAACCCAACCAACCAACCACCAAAACAAAAGCCCCAACCCAGCTCCCAGAAGGCCTGGAGCCACGAGGAATTTTTGTTTGTGCTGGGAAAGTATTACATGACTTCAGGCACCAACCGAATTACATGATTCTCTTGCAAGGCAAGGATGTGTCCTTTTCAGAACTGAGAATGGGAATTACGAGAACCAGGACAATACCCTGTTATATTGTTTCTGAGAAGAGAGGTCCTCTGTGGTTGATCTTACTAGAAACCACAATGACAACATCAGGGTTCATTTTCCTTCTCAATCATTCTCTGTATTTTTCTCTTCTACTTACTAGCTCTTCCTTTATCTCTGTTCCCCTTCTGTCCTCAAATCTTCTTTCTTTACCTTTTTTCCCTCTTATCTCCCACAGTTTCCCTGAAATACAGCAGGCATGCAGAGTTGTCTCTGACCAAAGATGGACCAGTGACAAAGCTGTATCTGTAGTTAAGTTTGTTCCACAAGCAGATAGCGCTATGCTCTCTTGTTCAAATGTCAGTTTGTGCTGTTCTCACAGGCATTAATCCAGGAACACTATTTGCAGGCTACAGTGGGATACTGCAATGCCAAGGGATGGTTTATCTGATTTCTACTTCCAGGCTTTTATTTTGACATTAAAAAAAAGTGGACAAAAATACATTGTTGTCATTCAGAAAAATAATTCGTCATCTGTTTTATATGAGTGAGGGTAATAGAGCTGGAATTAAAGAAATGTCATCTTTGCAATATGCCCAGACTTCTGAATGAGAGGGATTCCCAAATAAAATTCTTCCAAAGTCACATTTCGGACTTGCAGCTTCCATCAGCGGGACCTCTGGCAGGGTTGGTAGGAGCATGACTGTGAATGCAGGGAGTTTGGAAGCAATCCTCAGAGCCTGAATCACACTGATGCCTGAGCTGTGGATTTGTGCCTTGGCAGGACAGATAGAAAAAACAGAAGTCATATGCTAATCTCTGAATTGGAGATTTTAAGCTCTAACCTGAATTTAGATTCTGCTCTGGTGTAAACCCAGAATAAGTGTGCTTAAGCTCAGACCTACAGACTAATTTTTCAAATGCCTTATAAAATGTGGCAATGCCTTATAAAACCCCAAGCACTTGTAACCTACTCTAATTGAGCAGGAAACCATCCTCTACACTAATTTTTTTGCACTCTGTCCTCTAGAAACACTAAGAGGAAAAGAGTATGGAAACTTCCACTATTCAACAAGATGCCCAGAGTGTCCTCAGATAATCCCTTGTGAAGCTCGATGGTGGGATGAGAACCAGGCTCTGTCATCAGGGCTCCCTGGCTGGTCAGAGGGATGTGCTTGTTCCCAACCATCCCTTACCGTACCTCAAGATGAATGGCTCCACACTGACCACTACAATTACTTGACAGTCCCAAGAGAGATGCTATTTAAGCTAAACTATGGCACTGGAACCATAACAAATTTGTCTAAACTGGACATAATTGTATTCACACTGGTTATTAGAAGAAGACTCCTAATAAAGTTTTTGAAGAGCAGACAAAATGACTAAAGGGGCAAAGCAACCCCAAATTATTTTTAAAGTATAACTTGGTATGCTTCTTGGAAGATTTCTTGAAGTTGGGCTGCAGAGGAGTCAATGGTCTCAGCAGTCCTTTAACCTTCCTTCTTCTGATCAAGGGGTCTCTTGGTAATTTAATGTCATATGTTAACTCTTACACTGGACAGAGCTCTCTACTGTGCTGATGTTGCTCTGCTGTGATCACACTGAACTCTGCTCTCAAAAACAGCAGCAGAAATGGCCAACTTCCATATGCATGGTGATGTGGGAAAGATATGGTTCTATTTAATTTAGTATTGAAAAGTCCACTCCCCTCACTGATGTGTATGAAAAATAATTTGCTCTGTGATAATGTTATTTTCATTGGAAAAAGTCACCTCTAAAAATCATCTCCCCAATAAACGAAAACAAAATCCCTAAAACTGAGACATTACAATGAATCATATTCTTGAAAATCTCCTTTTTCCTCCAGTCTCAAAATGGGGTTGGCAATACTTACATGCCTCTGGGAAGCTCTCTGGGTAAGAAAATCCTCACAGCATGAAAGATCTTCTCTAAAAAGAGCATTATTTGCCTAGTAATTTGCTTTTATTGTTCTGGTCTAAAAAAAAAACCCTCCACACAAAATTTAGAGTGTTACACTGAGTTTATTTTGAAAAAGAAATCAAAGAATGTTTTTTTCATCTCTGAGCCAGATGGACAGAAAAAAACAAACGTATTCCACCCTATGAAAGAAAACACATGAGAACTTTCAAAAAATTTTTTAGCCAAGTTTTTTTTTTTTTCCTTTCCACTGAACAGCATGGAAAAAATGAGAAGGAGATGGTGAATGAACAAACAGGCTCTGGTTTCAGAAAGGCCTGGTTTCTGGGGAACGAGGGTTTTGTACATAATGCATTGTGCTTTCCCATCTATAGATACCCAAACTACCTTTGAGTGAGTGTGGGTAAGCACTGGGAACCTCCTCTTCCTGCTCCTGCCCAAGCCTTGGATGTCCCAGTGGAGGGGAGTGCCAGGTATGGGCAGCTGTCCCACTGCCAGCCTCTCACCTGTGTGATCCCTGATACCTGCCCGTGGCAGCACAGAGCCTGCTCCAGGGGTAGCTGGGTGCCCATGGAGGAGCAAACATCTCCAGGGGGCACAGAGACATTTGCAGAAGGGGGAGGGGGAAAACAAAGCAAGTCTGGAGGCTGGGGCTGGAGACATTTTGTTCCCTTTGGATGCTCCAGCTGTGTGAGCTGCTGTGCTTTTAATCAAGGAAGCTTCACTGGGCAAAAGTGGTTTTGTTTTCTCACACCTGAGTTGACTCAGCCACCTTTCCCCTATTCCCTGCAGAGCAGTTTCCTCTGACAGCCAGTGGCTGCCCTCCAACCAGATCCTTGCCTTGCCAGTGATTGGACACCACTTCTGTCACTTGCTAAGAAGAGAGGAGCTACTTGCTAGGAACAGAAAATTAAAGGAGGAGGCCAGCCATTTGAGTGAGAGAGGAATAGCAAGATCAGAGTAGCCATTATAAACAGCCAATTTAATTTTGTTACCATAATGGCTAATGTAGGGACTGATCCTGCTCTACTCAGGATATCCTTCACCTGGGGACCCATCTGAAATGCTTTGTCTGTGAGAACAGTAAACAGCAAAGGGAATTCTTGCTTCTTCAGCCCTTCTTAGAGGTCTTTTTCAGCTCTTACATTTGAAGCTATGTTCCCAGCACTGAGGTGCTGCAAGAAAAAGGCACAAAAAATGCAATTAAGGGATAAGATAGCCACAGTCATGTTTAGAACTAGGATGGTGTAAGTGAGAAGGAAGGCTTTAATGGAAATAATTTTCATCAGATTTTTAATACCTATGACTGCGTCTGGCTCCGCATTTCTCTTGGTTACACACGCACGCACAGAGTAAACAACATTCACTTCCATGTCTCCACTTAGTCATTCCTTTATTGGAACATTTGCAGGTATTATTTATAGACATCGAAGAGAATGAGAGTTTGAAATTTAGAAGCTCTAATCAGCTGAAGGTGTTTCCAAATAAATTAATGAAATGAGTCAGAAATCACATTAAGAAATTCAGCACTGAATGTACATCACAATGACTTTTTACCCTCTCTGCCTTTTCCTCCTTTTCTTCCCAAAGTCTCAGTGCTTACCAGGGTATATGAACTTGCATTTAGTTTGATCTAAAACAAGAAAAAGGATGATGGGAATGTGTGCTCAGTACAAGTTACAGTGTTTGTGCATAAGAAGGCCAAAACTTGAGCTGGGACAGAATAATTTCCTCTCACTTAAAACTTTCCAAACAAGCCGTGTTATCACTCAAACCATACAGAAAACAGATTTAATGGGGATGTTTTCCCACTAAAGAGTGGCCACTGACTTTCATGACAATTTTTTGGCCCATTCTGGTGTCCCGCTCACATCCCTGCCAATCTGTCTGTTCTGTGACAGGTTCCTGAGCTGTCTTAACACTCCCTTGGCCTTCTCAGTGATTTCAATCTTTGTTGCCACTTAACACCTCTGTTTCCCTCCTGCAGGAATACTAGGTCAAAAGTATGGTCTGTCTCAGTCCACCTGGTTGCTCAGGACACTTTTTAAGGATGACTGGACATGCTAGGCATGCAACTGCAGCACCCCTCTCCAGCCAGTTTGCTGCACAGCTGCAGTCTTTCATTCAAATGTGTGAACAGAAGGTGTAAGTCCAGTCACATTTCATTTCTCGATGTCCTTAGCATGTCACTCCTCTGACTGGAAGACATTAGATGACTCTTGGATCATCTGATCTTGATATGTATCATCACTGCTATTGCTGAAGGAAGAGAAGGATGAAATCGGGGCAAGGAAGCAGTACAGCTTGGGCTTAAACAGGGCTTCTCATTGGCTTCTTTTGGTGAGAGAAGTTTATGATATCAGTAAAAAGCAGGAAGAATGTCATTTAATGTGGCAGATGCTCCAAAGGGGGTTATTTCACCTAAATAAACCAACATTCAAAACAAAGGTAGCAGTGCTTCTATTTCTGTGTGGCTCTGCAAGGCTCCACTCACCAGGGTTTGTAAGGCTCTCTGGGCATGCAAAATAATAGTTTTTTAACTCATTATCCAAAATTAGCAGTTTAACATTATCTCCATAGACATTGTGTAAATATATATGTAAACAGTACAGAATGCATCTACATGCGACTCCCAGGTACAGCATGACAAGAGTGTATGGTAGAATCAAGTTGTATTCAAAACCTGATGAAAAAGCCAAAAGAAAAGCCTCAGGAAATCCAGACTGTCTGAAGAAAAGCCCTGCCTCCAAGATGGCATGGTTTCTGCAGCTGAAATGCACAGACCTCTCACTTTTAATTAAGCATCTGCAATTTTCGTGTTGTTCCTGTCTCATATCTAATTTGTACCCACAGGACAGCTTCCCAAATCTAATATTTTGTGTATTTTTAAAGAAAATCATAATTCAAATTTAAAATACTGGAGAGACTGTGAGACATAGGGAAGCAGCAGTCTTTAATTGGTTGGGTTTAGGAGCAATATTTGAAAATCTGAAGTACAAAATCTTGTCTGTTTCCAACAGAGCTGGAGTATTTCAACAAATATATCTGCATTCAGCCAAGGTAAACGGCAGGTCAGGAGGCAATGGAAAAACATTTCTCCTTCCCAAGAAGCCGAAACTACTTCCTTCATCATATAGCATGTGGACATGCAAAGAGTATAAAAACTGGGAACAAATACAAGAGTTTCTGCTAATGAATTTAACTGCTAATTTTTTTAATTCGTGATAAACAACGCTGCTGCCTAGACAACGGCACATGGGACTGTGGAGGAAACTGGCTGCGTAATGATATCATCTTCTTCTGTTTTGCAGCATATTTTATTTTCTACTTTGTTTGGGAGAGAAGTACTGGTCCAAGAAAACAGAGAGATTGGTTTACAAAGCACTTAGGAGAAGTGCAAGTTGAGTATGGCATGTCCTTCTTACCAGATCTTGAAATCTGTCTTAAAAACAAACACATTTCAATGTGTGCAGCTTCTTTGTTTCTCTTTCCATAAAGTCTCTCAGCTGGGCTTGACTTGCAGTATGTGTAGCACCTACTGGGGCAGAATTCCTTACAAGAAGGGAGAAGGAATGAAAACATTTCAAAATCATTCTCAAAAGCTGGTGATTTACTTCTGTGGCATTTTCTCATGAGTGGAAGGAATGTAGGATGGCAGGATGGCAGGCAGGCAGGAAAGCAGGCAGGCTGGATAGAAGGGAGGTAGACAAGCAGGAAGGCAGGCGGAAAGGCAGCAAGGTAGGAAAGCAGGTAGGCAGGCAGGCAGGCAGGAAGGAAGAAAGGAAGGAAGGAAGGGAGGAAAAGCTTTTATTAACATGGTCAGTGGAACACTGGCTGTGATCAGAGCTATTGAGTATCTAGTCCTTAGTCAACCTAATTGTTACACACGCAGACTAGATTGCATAGAGTAAGGAAAACACTACCTAAAATCCGCTTTAAAAGTTATTTAACCAGAACAAATCATCTGGGAAAGTACAAATATTTCTAAATGGAAAAATATTTCTCTACTGCTGAGCTAGGCCTGACAGCAAACCTTAATGAATTATTAGTACCTTTATTGTTTTCTTTGGCCCCTGTGCACTATATTTGTAAAAAAAGTCAGTAAAAAAGAGAACAATTGTAAAAAGCAAATATTTTGTACAAAAATACAAAGTTTTAAAAGCTCTTAAAAGTATATTCCATATTATTGATAAGAGTTGGACTATATATATATATTTATATAAAATCTATATATTCGTGTATCTGTATAATTTTCCTACATTTGGGATTTTAGCAAATGAAACAACTGTTTACACAGTTGTTTTATATGTTTTTCTATATGAGTGACCAACAGTCTTACTCAGATTGATGGAATGTCTTTTCTCAGAAGACGCAAGTTGCTTATGTACGTGGTTACTAGTTGGGAAGAAAACCTATAACAGAATTAGTCCAACGGTATTTCTTGATGCTGTGGGTTGAAAGGCCTTGAATAATTGCAGGATGCTGGAGAAGAGTTGCTATTAAATTCCTTTATGCTTTTAAATCAGTTTTCAGTGCTTGCTTTTTTCTTTTTTTTAATATTTAATTTTGGAAGTTGATGCTGCTCTCTCCCAGGATTTTCTTCTTTACGTAGATTTTCATAATATGTAGGTATCTGTAAAGTCACAGCCTATTACACGCCAAATATTTGCCCTAGAGTATGAGAGAAAAAAGAAAAACAAAGAGAAAAAAAATCTTGTAAAAAACCTGTGAAGATTAACCAAATTTGCAAAAAGAAAACTTACAGAGATCAAGGTATATAAAAAATTTAAGAAGATTCATATTCAGATCCTGTATGTCCTGGAGGATAAATATTTGTAAACCATGAAGTTTTCTTAAAATAACAAATGTATGTAGGAAAACTAGAGCAAATTACATTATTACTTACACATGGTCCGTCATTCTGGACATCCAAACAGACTTATACACACACAAAGCTTGTTCAGCACTTTGTTTTGTTTTGGTTTAAGGGGCATTTCTATGGATGGGATGTAATTTTGGCTCTAGCTGACATTTATGTCTGCCTTCTCTGAAATTCAGACGACAAGTTTCCAACTGGAGCAGCCAGGCACCCCTGGCAAAGCAATGTTTCAACAGGTTGTATGGAGGAGATAATGTTTCAGGCAGAGCCCCACCATGAACACAAACACTACCTAGTTCTGTCACGATGTGGCTGAGCTCTAAGCAGCTGTGTGAACCACCTGTCCCCTGCTCTTGCAGAAATGACTGTATCAACAAAAAGAGATACCCTGTGGCAATGACCTGGGCTTACTGCTCGGCCACACTGGCAGTTTATGAGTCCTTCACTCCAGCTGCAAGAGATGAATAGCTTATGGTCTGTGGACCCAGCTTATCAGTCCTATGGGACATCTTCAGGTAGTGATGGGAATTGTAAGACCTCCTCAGCAGTCACCAAGTGCCTCCTGTTGCACAAACTCTCAAAACGAAGCCTTTCTGGTGTTTGAAGGCTGGTGCCTGAGTCATCCCAAGTTCAACTTGTCCTGTTGCGTGGCCATTGAGCCTATAAAAACATCTTCCAGTGTGACTAGGGTCTTGAGCACGTGCCAAATCATGTCTGAAATTCTAGGCATGTTTAAAGTCTACAGGAGATGGTCAAGATGCAGAGTATGCCATGGCTATGGCCAGCTTCGAGACTGCTCTTTCCGAGTGCAATAAATCCAGTACCTACAACACTCAGAGTATTAGAAAAGCACATGTTGGGCTGGATCAGAGTAGAAGTGCTCCACATGTGATTCTCCCTCTTCTTCAACAAGGTACTGCCGTTGCATTTAGCCTGGATCTTCTCACCTCTAGCTGTGGGACAGTTACTATGGACATGGTGAAATAATCAAACCAAGTGCCTTGCTTACCTTTGTCCATGTCTTTTTCACAAATGAAATTGTTAACATCTTCACAGTAGAAGTCGTTCCAGAGCCCAGCATAGATCAACCCAGCACAATCTTCCCCTGGCCCATGCCCATGACTCCAGTTATCAGGCTGCCCAGTTTTCCAGTTTCTTTTAACGAAAAAGCAAGAGATATGATTGCACAACACAGCACACATGGCAGTTTTTCACCACAAGAAATTAACGAAAACATCATGAGATCTGTTCTGAACGGGAAATACACATTGAAACAAACAATACATGACTCTTGCTGAAAATGGAAAACAGATGTATTACAGACGAGGGAATCTATTCGGCCTTGGGCTGCCAAAACTCAGAGACCTAAATTTAGACTGATGAATTTTATTTTAGTTCCTGAATGTACATGCACACATAGTGGGAGTGCTCCATGCTCCATGTGCATTGCTCCAAGCCTGCAAAACCTGCAAACTGCATTCCTGTTGGCAGCTGGGACTGAGAAGAGCCCACAAGCTCCCAGGTACTGCCAAGATGGCAACACCCTGCCCTTGCTCACTGCAAAGGCGCTCAGCTCTCTGACTGAACCAGGGCATCTTGGAAGGAACAGCAAAGATGTACGTGTTTGAGGGACACATGCTTAGATGGGAAGGGAATTTTTTTGACTTATAAGGAATGTACAGAGTATATATACACACATCTTTTTGAGATTATTAACTTTGGTGGTGAAACTGAAGGCAGCAAGTGTTTCCTCATCCTGTTTTTGTTTAATGAATGAGAAACACTTCCAACCTCAGGACTTAAAAGCTCCATTTTCCTGAAGAAACAGGTTGTTGAAGGGAGCTTGTGGTTGCTGGCTGACACAGTCCATGCTCAGCTAAAAAACATGCCTGCCTGACACAGAGTGTCCAACCAGGCACCTGGGAGGACACACAGCTTTCCAGAAGTAATGAAATACTCTGAAAATCAGTAACCAACAGTTCTGAGGTTACACCAGAGCACCTAAAACCATGGTGTAGTGGAAACTGATTAAAAGCAGTGCCTGAAGTGGGAATCAGTCACAGTGCTGCCATAAAGAGAAAGAAAGATGAAAATGAGGAGGGAGAAAAAAGGAAAATATTATGGCTCATTTGAAATGCATCTGACTTTTTCCGTGTTTTTTCATGTAAATGAACACCAATGAGATCACAGCTAATCATTTTGTAACATCTGACTGACTGTAGTCTGTTTTTCTGAAGCACAGCATGCTCGGCTCTATAAACTCTTTAGTCTACTTCTCAGTATTAAAAATTTGGGTGGTTGCAATCTGTTCCATTTAGGACAAATTAGGTGTAGCTGTAGGATTCCTGGAGAGCTGCCAATTCATTTCTCAGCTGGCCAAAGCATAGACATCCTTATTTCATGCATTTTCCTTATATTTAATGCTTTCCACTCGGATTTGGGCTTTATCTAAGGACTGGTCATTTTTTATCAGAATGAGTACTCTATTTATAGCCAGTTGTAATGCAAATAAGGAAAATTCAAACCAAAACAGTCAAACTGTCTGTGCTTTCCATCTCAACTTCGTAATAAAAGTCAGGAGCAAACATTTTGGCAAGAAACACTGCACTGTTTAGTTATGTGATTCTTTCATTCAACATTCAGTTTTCTTTCTGGCAAGGAAAGAAAGCCTTGTGCAAGGAGAAGGGAGAGAGAAAAAAAACGTTCAACAGCACCCTCAGTAACAAATTACATCATTGGCATCTACAGCCATCTGGATCCGTTGGACAATTTCTAGATGCTGCTTTTAGAAGTGTTAGCAAGAGTGGTAGCAGTATTTTATTTACGTACGTGTAAACTGGTAAGGATCCATCCAGCCATCTCCATTCATTTTCCTTCTCTGAATCTGTTAGTCCAATCCAGAAACTGCCTTTCCCAAAAATCTGCCTTTTTATCCATTGCTGTGAAAGAAAGATTTTAGTTCATAACAAGAACAACTGTCTTTGGAGCCAATAAGCTACACTGGTTTCATGAATGACTTGTTATCAGAATAGGAAGGGCCAGAGAAATTTTTTTAAACTGAAGATATGTGTTGGAAGTTGGCCTTGTGACCCCTTGCCCAAAGTAGAATCCATTGCTGTGTTTGCATATGAGATAGAGAGAACTAAGCATGAAAATTAGGTTGACATAAAGTCACATCTAACATCTTATAGATCCAAACTGAAAAAAAAAACCACAAAGAGTAAGCAGTTGCACCTTGACATCCCCACTGGTGTGCTGAAGAGTATTAAAAGTAAAGTTAGATTTATAGTCAGATTAAAAATATTCTTGGGTCACAGTTGTCTCAGGCTGCATGTATTAAATCAGACTGATGCAAAAAATGCATTTTTGATAATATGCAAGGCACAATGGATTTCATATTTAAGGGTTCAAAACTTCTACAATTCTCAGCAACCTTTCTGACTGCTCTGTGCCCACCACATTCAGGGTCAGCACCAGCTCTGTTCACGCTGCCATTCTGCAGAAGGAGAAGCTGCTGATCAAAAAGAGGGTGGACAAAATGCTAATGAGTCAATCACTGTGTCTACTTCACTATATGAATTCATGATGCTCTCAGCTTCACACTTACCTTGTGGTTTCCACATGTTAAACAACTTCAAACTCTCTCCTTGAAAAACAGAAAGAGAAGGTACTTACCTGCTCCTCTTTGTTGTTGATGATAACCAAACGTGATGCTTTCTCTTCACAGAATAACTTTGCCTCTTCAAAAATTTCTCTTTCAATTGAAAAGTAGTAGCACTTTTCTGTATAGTTTTTCCAATGAGGAGAACAACCTGTGATGTGAATTTTTTGTGTTAAGCCTGTCATTGGTAAGTAAATGGGCCAATAATAGGGCCAATAATAACTGGAGGAACACATACTAATCTATAGAATGCTGCTTCCTTAAGTACTTACAAACAGTTTGGGAATTTACTTAATAGGTCCTCATTGGGTAAAATCAAGTCTAAACTGTGTGGATTTATTTATTACTCACAATACTGCCACCTTTTCTTTAGCCATAAACTTTAACTTATATCAGTTTCAGGTCAGCAGAAAGAAGACCAACACAAATGGCTTCACTTAACAGGACTCTTTGTGCCTAGAGGAGCTGTGGATGCCCCATCCCTTGAAATGTTGAAGACCAGGCTGAATGGGGCTTTGAGCAACCTGGTCTAGTGGAAGGTGTCCCTGTACATGGCAAGGGGGTTGGAACTAGACAGTCTTTCAGGTTCCCTCCAACTCAAGCTGTTCTGTGATTCTGTGATGATTCTCTGGAATCCCAGAGACTTAGTCTAAGGCAGGTAAAGTTATTTGAAGCAGTAACTAAGTGGTGAGCACTGTCTGCTACATGTACCTGTATGTCAGCAGAAGGTGGATGCAGTGTGTTGATATCTTACCATTAGCCTCGGGCACTGATGTGGGTTCACTCTGTAGTGCCATTGGCATCCCTGGACCTGGTGGCCCTGGTGGGCCAGGTGGCCCCTTTGGACCAGGCAGCCCAGGGACTCCAGGTAGTCCAGGTAGTCCTCGAGGTCCTGGTACCCCTGGTTCTCCCACAGTTCCTTGCAGGCCTTGAAATCCTGGTGGGCCTTGAGGCCCAGGTGGACCGTCCTTGCCTTGTGGACCTGGTGGCCCTGGGTCTCCACTTGGTCCAGGCAGACCAGTCTTGCCGGGAGAACCCCTCTGACCTTTGGAGCCAGGCGATCCTCTTGAACCTTTCCCTCCTTTTTCTCCTGGTGGCCCAGCTGGCCCAGGTGGGCCCTTCTCACCTGCAGGTCCTGGTGGTCCAGGCTCTCCTTTCTCTCCTTTTTGTCCTTTTAGGCCAGCGGGGCCAAGAGGACCTGGAGGGCCTCTGTCACCTTTAGGTCCCCTGGGACCAGGAGGACCTGAAACAACGTAAACATGCAAAGTAGGGATATGCATAGTAAACAAAACAAAAAGCCCATATGGGGTCCTTGTTTAGTACATGTCAGACCAGCAACACTGGATATTTAACAATGCAGAAAGCAGGCTAAGAGTTGCTTCCACCAGTGCCTATAACAGTACATCTGCTTCCCAGTTTCTCTACTGTTGCTCTTTCATCAGCCTTCACAAAATACGGGATACTGTGCCCAGGTGACCAGCCAAGGTGTCACTCCCTGCAAGACACACTCTGTACTATTGATGCACACGGTCCTGTGTGTTGATGGTCCTGTTTCCTCACTCTGCCACCCTCCCTTTTCCTTCTAGTCTCACCTCTCTGCTCTTAAACCTCAGGACTTTTTCTCCTGACCCTGTCTGCTGCTCTGTCAATAACAGAATGTCAAAAAGATGGCTAGTGAGCAATAGGCCAACTGTGGGAAAGACCAGAAGCTGCTAACTGTCCAGCTATAACAGGACAGGGAACAATAACCCCCAACAGAAAATGGCAATACTGTGACAGCAATAAACAACAAAACAATTTTTGATTCTGATCATGGCTGAGCAAATCCCTTGTCAATGCCTTCCCACCCCCCACCCCCCATCTACATAATTTAAACTCCTCCAGAGATAAATTCCCAAACTGGAACCATTTAGTCTTGGTTGAAATGAGAACGGTTAGGGTTACTGACATGTAATCTTGGCTGTAATTCAGCCTTAGCTTATTTGGAGCACTGGATTTATATTTGTGATTAGAGTTTTAGGCCTGACTGGTTCACATCAGGTTGGAAATATGAGCGTTCTTTTCATTTGGGATAATACTTGGCTGGGAGAAACCTCCTAAACCTGATGCCATTTATTTCTGGAGAAAATAAAATATCCCAAGATTAAAACCTAAATAAAGTAGGATGTTTTCTGGCAGACTAACAGCTGGCTTAAAGTGAAATAGTAACTTGTTTTTCAGCAAGGGTGGACCTTTCTGGGAATAGTCCAACACATATTTTTTAGCCATTTCCTTCTTAGCAGGGATTGGTTTCTTGAGGTTCCACACCTTTACTCGCTTATTTTAGAAACTAAATCAAAAGCAGATCCAGTCAGTTAGTCAGACAGAATAAAATTTTGCTAAGTCAGAACCTTCTTTCATAACATCTCCATTTTAGCTATGTAAAGAAGGCATAGAAAAATTAGTAAGGAAAATTCAAGCTACATGTACATTTCCAAAGTTTTGGATTAGATAATGGAAAACCCCAGGACTCTGTATCAGCATGCCAACTTCCACAGAACTAAAGAAGTAATGCAAGTCAGCATAGACATCATTTGGGAAGCTGCATACCTTGTAGGATAGTGAAGTTCTTGATGAGCTGGCCATGTTTGGAATCCACCAGCTTCATTTCTTCCATGATTACTGACAAATTGGCAACTTCAACATCTAACCTTGACCTCATCAAATCCTGTTGCACCTTGAGAGATGCAGCGTCTATGCGAATATTGGCTAATGTGCTGTTCATAAAAATCAGCTCATCTGAATGTTTACTTAAGGTGTCTGTACAAGTTGTCCTGACCTCATTGAGATTGCTGGTCAGTGTCCGTAGATGATGAGCAGTGTAGCTGATGTTGCTAATGATATTGACTATATCGGTTTCAAAGACTTGGAACCTTTCTTCTAGATGGTTGAATTTGGCAGCAGTTCTGTTTTCATATCCTTTATGCTGTTCCTGGAGATCCTTTAGATTTTGTTCGTTGGCTTGGGCAATTGTGGTGATGTTCTCTATTTGCCCACTGAAGGAGCTGAGCTGATTGTTCATGTCTTCAAGGGTATCATTGTTAGCTTTTGCCAATGCTGAATTGTTGGCGGCCAAAGTCTGTAAATTCTGTACTTTCTCCTTAAGCCAGTCAGTGTCCTTCCGGGCTTGAAGGACAACCTGCTGCAGATTTTGAAAGTCATTCTTGATTTTTAGAATAGCCAAGCTTGTATCTTCCATTGACTTCTGCAGGACACTGATAAGATTTCGTTGCTGTATTTGAGTCAGGTTTAAGTTGTTCAGGTTCATGATGACCACATTATGAGAATGCACTTGGTTTTGCAGGTTTGTTTGGATATTACTTGTGTCTTGTTGAAGATTGTTGATATAGCCAGTATATGACTGAAGAGTCTTATTAACACTGATGATCATGAAAGAGTTACTGTCTAAGGCACTTTTCATTTGGCTCTGTCTATCATCTAATGCATTTCCAGACTCTTGGAGTTTCTCCAGTGTATCTTTGTTTCTGGTAGTTTTTTCTGCAATGTCATGAAGCTGCTGACGAAGAGCCAGAATGTCAGATCTGAAGCTGGACAGTTCAGTGTTAGTATTCAAGGCTTTTTGTCCAGTTTGGTCATCTGTTGTACAGGAAAAAAAAATTGAAAGTCTTTAGGATAAGTTTTTTTTAAAATACAGTATAAAACAGCACAGTGTATTTTAAGTACAGTCAGACTGACAAACTGCTCAGTAGAACTTCTATCTTTTCCAGCAAAGAGAAACCACTAAGCAAAGTTCTGCCACTAGACAGAGAAAAAAAACAAAGAGGAACCATGTCTTGCTGAGGACAACAAAACAGTGATTCTGTATTCATGTATGGGAAAACTATTGTTAGCAACTGATGAGTATATGGACTCAAATAATGCTGTATTCTGACTGAAAACTGAATGGTAAACAGAATTCAAAACATTAAATGGGTATCAGTAAGTGTATGTTTTGAAGTTACAACTGGATTTTGCTGAAAGCTCAGGAGTTTATATTTGCTGTTCATGTTTTCTTCCTCTTGGAGGGTGAAAAATCTTCACTGTGATTTAGTACATATAGTTCCATTTTTTTTAAAATCTTGGGTTTAGTTTTAAAAAAGGTCTATTACTTATTTTAAAACAATCTGGTTTAGAGACAAAAGCTTTGCCAGCAGGCTACTATGGATATGTCAGGATATGATGTATTTCTGGTTTTCTCTCTAATACATTACTATTGCTTTTAATGACATTTATTTTGCCATTATTGTTTCCTCATGGTCTGAGTTCAATGCTTGAGAAACATCTCTGCTCTTGCTTACACTGCCCTTCAGAATATTTCTGGAAGCCTGTCTGAGTATGATAAAGCCCTGTCTGAGTATGATAAAACCCTGTGATAAATCTGCACAGCCTCTCAGCCAGGACATAGAAAACAAGGAAATAAGCAGTCAACACTTGGTTTCAGGGAATATTCCCTTTCTTGACCTGAATCACTTCACTATCCTACTCACAGTCCATATATTTTTGTCCTCATCTAAGTGTAGCTATATTTATGAATTATGCAGTATGGAGTCCATCATTTCAGATGACTCCAAGAGAGAGCAGTATGGTTTTCATAAAGTACAGTGAATACAGCTGTGTATGGAGCTTTTGTCTGACGTGTTTGAATGAGTTGTGATGGCAAACGTCAAATGGTGGCTTGTGAGACCTCAGCCTGAAGTGTTTATGGAGTCTTTTGTGGATGGACATCTTCCTGAGCACAGTTCCTCTCTCTTCTGCTTATCTCACTCCAGGAGCTTCTCAGTTCTTGACTTTATGTTTATCTCTTGGCTATAGCTCAAATTATATTGTATTCCTCACACAGCTCACACAACTGCCATCCTGAAGCTAATCTCTGAAGGCCTGTCTTCCATTCACCACACACTGTTATACTTCTGGCCCTACAGCAGTACTCTTACCTTTATGTTCCCTACAAAAGTTGCTACAGAACTTTCCTAACTTCCTCCATGGCAAGTCCACTTAAATGGGAAATGATGGTCCTGAGCATCTCACTGGCCATCCACCCAGCAGCATGTAAAAATGTGGCACGAATGAATCAAAGGTGCTCCAAGCTGTGCAAATTTAATCAGTGTAATATAATAACACAAATATAACCCAAAAGGTTGCACGTGCATTAAGTTGTAACATTTACTTCTGTATAAGTGTGAGTAAAAGAACATATCACTCCATGTCTTTGAACTAAATGCAGTGTGTAAATACTTTAGAAGCCATCTCTTTTTTGAAGGGAAAAAGTTGTAAAAAATTATAATCAAGTTGCAAGCAAGCAATTTTTCATAGAAATGCACATCTCAATATATGGTTTATGAAGCTAAACAGAATTTATTTCAAGAAGCACATGCATGTATGTGTATATTTATATCTATGTAATAATTTATATAATAAAATATGTCTGTGTATAGGAAGAAAGGTAAGAATGTACACTTAGAGAGTAGAATCTTTATCCGTGATTTTGTTTTACATCTTCCTGCAAATTGAGAACTTTGATAGCGATTGGAAGATCTGAACTCATAACAACCTTGTTCCCTGTATTCCCTGAGATGATCAAGAAACATTTTATGGAAGTAATCAACTTGCCTCAGACATAAGAATTTTGAACAGCTGATTATTTGTACACCTCTTAAAATGGCCTTTAGTTTTGAATCTTAGTTGCTAAAACAGCATCAAGATGACTGGGTGACAGATTTGCACTTCATGTGGAATCTCTTGTTCTGTGAAACAGCTTCCGCTATGTTTTACATACCTCAGAGAAGATTCTCTCCTGAACACAACTTTTAGGTGTCTGTTTATTTAAGTATACGTGCTTCCAAAGTGACTTCAGTGGGAACTGTAAATTTTGAAGTGTGCTTAAAATGCTATCCTAAGCAGACCTGATCTGAACTATTTTTAAGTGCTTTCACAAGTACTTGAGAAACTGGAATAGAAGTGCTGTATCTTGTCACAGGCAGAGATTTTTCAGACAAATTTCCTGCCACTATCTGCCAGGAGAACACCCCAGAGTCATAATACAAAGAAGCTTTGCTTGTGTGTACATTACCTAATTTCTTCAGATCACTCTCCACCTCTGTGAGCTTTTCCGTATATCTTCGGTGGGATGTTTCCAGGCCACCTGTCACATTGTCCATTTTTTCTACAACTAGGAGAAAGAGAACAGTATGTTATGGAAAGAAGAGAAGTGAAATAGTGGAAAAAGTCTAGTAAACAATAAAGCAAACAAAAAACTCCACCACTGCCAAAAAAAAAACCCCAAACAACAAAACACTAAAAAAAGAAAACACCTTAGAATTTCTTTGCTTGCCATTGCACTTTGCTGTTGCTCTGTGAAATTTGGAAGGATGAACTCCTATTTGCTGGTGAGACCCAGAATTCTTCCAGCTTTTCAGTCTGCCAATAGTCTCTAAACATTTTTTTTGCCCATGAGCAATCTCTCTCCTGAATGAGGAAATCCCTCTTTGTGGGTTTTCCTCACGAATTAAGTCCTTTTCTTTTAACAATATTTCCATGCTTCAAGCACAGTGCTGTGTGGCAAAGGCAGACTGATTGCTAAAGGCTCAGACGTGAAAGAAGACTTCCTTTTATTTTGCTATGAGCCATTTATCCTTAAAAATAACCTTTTTTTTCTTGTGCCTTTTAATCGCTAGAAGTTGCCATCTGGATAACAAACTTAGGACTAAGATAGCAGTTTTGGGGATTTTAAACATCTTGATAATGGTACAGATCACTCAAAATGATCTTGAAACCATTCTGCCTCATTAAGATTGAAAGGATGGTCATTCAGCAAGTGCAGATTTATGGCTGATGTGCTCTTTATTTTGTAATGTCTGAGTAATTTTCTTGTCACTGAGACATTCGATTATTTGATGGAATTGATATGGGCATGGAAAAAGCAGAACAACAAATAAAGAGCCTGGGGTGGCTTCCAGTGGCAAAAATGTGAAATCCTTGCAAGGTTAGAGGTAGCCTACAATGTTCACACTAAACCTTGTCTAATAGCCTTTTGCATTCAAGCCACAACCAGAGGCAAAATTTGCTTCTCACCATGAGATTATTTAGCCCTTTTGCTACACTGGGAGCAGAATGGGTTTGAAACAACCTGGGAGAGGCCACATCAGTTATTGTGCCAGCTCCCTGTTTCAAATAGAAGAAATAAGGTGTTTTCCATGTCTTTAGGTTCTGTAAACCTGTATGGAGTAGCAGGTACCACTAACTCTTAATGTCTGTGAGATGATTTGCAGCTAGGAAATAGTCTCATAGAAGCTATTGCTATATAAAGATTTGGGTTTTTACTAGGAGTGAAATTTAAGGATCTTTTGCTGCTCATGAGCAACCACATGAATCCCAGACCTTTTCAGTGTAGTCCACCAAGTCCTCCTTCTTTATTAACTTTTGCCTTTGTTTTTCTGATTCTGGATACCACAATTACACAGCAGGATTTTACTGCTTCCCCAAAACCAACAGGAGAAAAACCAGACCAAGACTATCTCTGATGCAACAGCACTGAGATGAATGGAGTTACAACAGAGAAAAAGTCTCAGGGTTTTCAGAGAGACCAGATACCCTTTAGTGAATTACCTTTCTGCTTCTTTTTAGACTGCTAACAAGCCAGTAAAACAGAGACTGTACCGTGTGTGCAAAGTCAGTCAGAGTGTGGCTTTCTGTATTTGAGATGATGACAGATTGCTTGCTAAACACCAGATCCAGGCTACAATAATGGCCTTGCTTTTTCAGAGGGACAGTTGCTCAATACCTTCTGCTTTAGAAAGCATTATAGCACCAATTTTTCACTGGTTTTTCTGCCCATTAAAGTTGTCAAAATGCTGTATGCCATTTTCTTTAAATGAATCCAGAGTTGATTCTCTCTTTGTCCTGCCCAGCTGTCTTCCAGGCTGGAGCCCAGATCAGCAAAGGTCTTTCAGTTACTTCTGACACTCCAGTGAAGCATGTGTACACCTACGCATTGCATGCAGTGAGCATGAGGACATACCTGGCTTTTCCTTTTGGCTCTAGGCAGCTCCTTGTTCAGTGTGTCATGTTTTGCTTTGTTTACAGATAGTCACCGTGAAGGATATGGCTCACTCTGGGTACTTAGAAGGGACCTCATGAAATCATCTGGACTTAAAAAGCAGGCCTAATTCAAGTGTTTCTGTTGAACCTGTGCCTTGACTAGCAATGTGGATCTTGTTAATTCAGCTTTAGTGTAATATTCTACTGTTTTCTCCAGTTATACAACACACTTGGAGTTGGCAAGTGAATATATATTATCAGTAACTAAAGGAAAATGTAGTTTCTTCCTTTTGCTGTTCAAATTATTGCCAATTTGTACTTCAGATCTGAAGTTTGTAAAGCTAAGATTTTATACTGTCCTATAACAAGTATGTCTTTATGGTTGAATGAAATCTGTCACTGGAAACTTGGGTTAAGACATTACCCTGAAGAGTCCAAAGCAAATGAAAATAGTAGAAATCCTATCAATAATTAGTTGTGTGGCAGTTAGATGAGACTGAAGAGAATGAAATATGCAATGGCAGTATTTTCATTGCCCAAAGGAAAAAAAATATGAAAAACCACACTAAATGAAGTAGCTCCAGCTATGAACAGTCTTTGTTGAGAACACCCCAAAAATTTGATGAAGACAGGGCTTTAATCTTACTGGTATTATTGATTGGCCATGATATGTGGGGAAGACCACGCCTGGTCTGTGTATCTGAAAGATCACTAATGAGCACTGTTAAAAGGTCTTTCAGTCCCCAGCAGCTTCTCTTCTACAGAAACTAGTAGCTTTTAATTCTAACGTGTAAGTGAATGCCAGGCAGCAGTGATAGGGAAGGCAGACCCAACTTAGCTGGAAGATGCTCATTTAGAGGGGCTGGAAAGAGAAGGTTGCTTTCGAATACCCAAGGTATTGATTTTTGTCTATTTGACACTAAACTGGCAATGACTTACCCAGATTAACTGATGTGAAGTGCAGAATTAGCTATATTAGGCAAACCATTTCCCTTATTTTAAATCTGTTTCCCCTCAGAGGGCAATCCAGAACCAAATTCAAACCACCCAGCTCCAGCAGCAGAAACAGAAGAGGTCTCTGGAAATGTGAACTGCGGGGTTAGGTCAAGGACAAGGCTAGACAAACCAACGCATGTATTTGCTTTAAGCAGGGGTGGGATCTTACCCTACATGTTAAAAAAAACTTGATCCTCTGTCCAAAGTCATTCCCTGAGCAAGTTGTAGCTTACTTACTTTCTTGCTACTGCCCTGCGAGTGGAAAGGATGAACTCTAAGGAGAATGAGTAGAGAACCAGAGCCGATGTTGGTTTTGTTGCTGTTGATGTCAAAAGAGGTCATAGGGACTGATGTCCTATTATTGGAAATGTCTTTCTTTCCCTGGTAGTAGCTCCCACGACCATCACTGAATGGAGCCTTCAACAGTAGGTGAGCATCTGGAACACTCAGAAGTGAAAGTCAACCTCTTGGGAGTGCCCCAGGCTTGAACAAGCGCTTCCCATCTTCTCCAGAAAAAGGCAAAACAGGCAGACCGACCACCTCTAACATCCCTTACAAAGGCCACTCCAGTGCTCCCAACGTCTGCTGCTCTCAAAAATGCAAAGTTATCTATGCCTTAAACTTGCTTTTGGTTAGCTTCACTCTAATTCTCAGCTTGGCAAGATCTAGCTGCATTGTTCATCTCACTTTCTGACAAGGTCACAGTGAGAAATGTGGTGAACATCCTCTAAAGGAAACCAAATTTTCAAGTAGTTGCTGACCAGAGCAGTGAGGACTATCTGCATCTAACCCACTATAACAAAACGTGCCATTTCACCAGGATTTGTTGGCCTTACAAAATGGCAGGCAAACTGTGTCTAGGTGACAGATAAGAAAAAACTAGATGAAAGTCATGATGGGCATTAGTCAAGAAACTTAAAAAACAAGGACTAACTACAGAATGAGAACAACCAGAAATTCAAGCTGAAAGCATACTAGCTTCCCTCACTGGAGCAAGTCAAAGGAATATTATTCACCTTCAATAGGCTAATCTGATACTGGCTAGTGCCAGAAAAATTATAACTTCATATTTTGCATTTAATTTAAGATAGTATGTGTAAAAAAAGTACAGATTGTTTTATTAGTGTTTTAAACAATAATTTAATATGTCTTCTCAAAGCAAAAGAATAGTAAACCCAGCTTGTTATTCCTTCACGACCTTGATGTTTAATTCATGTTTTGGTTTCAGGTTTCTCCAACATACCATGTAATTTTTACCACCAATTTGGACGTTTGTTCTGTGTTGACTTTGCCTCCCATTGAGTTACTTTTTTGCCTGCCATATTTAATCCACTGATTAGTAGTTTTAAATCACAAAGGATACCTAAATACAACGTAGGAAATGAAAGTTTTAAAAGTAGTTTTGGGCTTTATAAACATATGTGTGGGAGGTAAATTTAATGGAAACTTAGCTAAGAGACTGAGAGAATCCCTGATGCCAGCAGAATTCCTTCTTTCAGTGTAATATTACAATAAAAAAAGACAAACCAAACTCTGATACAGAGAGGAGAGTTCAAGAGCTCTACAAAATTTTATTTTGAGTTTTGTTCTTCCTTTAAGGCCTAATTTCTTCTCAACAATCAGTCGAGAAGAAATATTGCAGTAATTCATTTGAATATGGAGTGTCAGCTGGGGTTTCATCTAACTTATGTTTTCTCTGCAAATTAGCACGTAGGCACCATGAAGACAAAGCTCTTAAATTACACGTACAAAGGGCAAAATGAATGCTTGACACGTTACCATTTGTTGCTTTGTGTTACAGAAGGGATATCTTGGATGAAACAGTACTTCTCTTTCTCTGCATCTTTCCCTTGGCATTCAAACAGAGTAGTCACCAAGCTGGTAAGCAGTGGAGTAGTGGCCACCAAGATGTCTTAGGGTCTGTGAGCAAGATATGCACTACCCACCTTCCTATATTTTTTTCCACATTTTTTGGGGGGAGAGGAAATTCATTTGTCCTTGCCCTGGACAGCTGTGACTTGGTACGGCTGTGACAGAAAGACTCATCCCTGGTGGGCACTGATGACTGCTCAGTCAAAGAAGAAGGTTTAGAAATGAGTGTAGCAAAGAAGGGGCCTCAAGAAGAGAGTAAAGCCTGGGGAAAAGATAGTGCTAGAGGCTCCAATGGAGAAAGAATCTTGAAAACTGGATTGAAATGAGGAAGAGAAACTTTTGTACAGTTTCCTTATTGCTGTTGCTTCCTACACACACACAAACGTGTCAAAGCAAGATATCGAGGAATGGTCCCTTCAACTTGATATGCTGTTTCTGATGCTGAGTAATGTCTGAGTTTTCTGGTAAGCCTCAGAACTGACAGCCTTATATAAAACTCTCGAGTGAAATTCTGCTAAATTCCAGTTGCTTAGTGGCTGGGTTACAGTCCAGAAGGATCCCATCCACATGTGCTGTAAGCAGATCTCTGCAGATTTATATCTGCAAAAGCCTTCCCTAACCACAGGACCAAATTATCTTTATGGATCAAGAGCAAGTTTTTGAATCCTGGAAAGTATTTTTCTCCCAAAATCTGACTTCCAGAGACCAGTTACACATACTTCAGGAGAGTGTCTAATCAACTATAGATGTACTGCATTTTTTTACCTTTGATGTTAATTTGCCATATTCTGTCTGCTTTATCATGAAACCTACATCTCTCTATCTGTCTTCACATTCTCTCTTCTCCCTGGATAAATCTTCCATCTAAACCAAATAGTTTTAATTTTCTTTCCACTCAAAACTGTACCAAACCCTCTTAAATAATTATTTATCCCTTTCTATTTCTATGATTTGCTTTTCTTTCCCTGGCAAAGGACCAGAGGTGATGTCAGCTCTGCTATGAGCGCAGTTGTTGGCGGCACAGGACGCACTGCATGCTAATCACATGAATATTTACCCAGCTCCTTGGAGGGGTTTTGAAGCTACTCTCAGGGCCATACTCAGACAGTTAGTTTAAAGCCAATTTAGTTTTCTCTGCAACATGCTGTGATGTTCTAATACTCACAATTATGTTGTTCACTTTTTTTTTCTTACCAGAAACTCACACGTTATTTACTTAACTTATAATAGCTGTGATTGCCCAACAAGCAGATATTTACATCAAAACATTCCTAAGAATACCCAAGTGGCAACAGTTAATGAGTGATGAGGATGTATGGGAATTTGAAGCCATGTTTTCCAATGTGCTTAGCCAATGACTTGCACAAATGAATTTTCTCCATTACTGGTTGCCCAACTACCAGAAACTTTGAAATTACTGTTAAAAGCATCTAAATGTTTTTGTTCATCACCATTATTGTAGGTAAGTCAATACATTGGCACCTCCTGAGACAATTTTTCTTTATTTTAAAATAATATTGATACTTTGCTGCTGGCTATTCACATTATCCTGAAGATATTCACATCAAGAAGGACATTTATTCTGGAAAGGTGTGATATATGTAAAACAACTCAGTGAAATCAAAGTGTGTCACGTTACACAGATTCGAGTCTTCCAGTCAGTACTCCTTTGTGATGGAGAAATGGTCATTTTGTTCTAACCTTTCTTTCAAATGTCTAATCTAGTTTCAAAACTTCATAATTGTTTGAAAGTGAAAATCTAAGGTTGCAGTTTGTCGTTATGTGTGTATCATTGCCCAAGATTTAAGGTGAAATGTGTTAAATTGCCTGCTAGTTCATATGACATTGTTGGATGCTTGTCTGAAAGTGAAATGTAGGGCTTAATGCATACATACCTTTGTATCCCAGAATGGCTACTGTGATTGTTAACAGGGCACATAAAATGTATAATAAGATGATGGAAAACTTTAGTGCCCAGTTATTTTTACACTTGGTACATTGACTCCCCTCTTGAATACCTGCAAAAGAAAATTTAAAACAATTTAAAACAATGGCAAAGAACATGTTGCTGGTTTTATCTCCCCATATGTTTTCTTTTGTTTCCTAAAGAACAAATTATTTATGTAAGTAGATGATATATGGGTGCCTTTTCGCCTATGCTGCCTGGATGGCCTTCACAGTGGTTAAATCACCAGTTCAGTGAAATAGTGATGTTTGCTAAACATCTTTAATATGGGGAAGAGAAGTAGGTTCTGCTTCACTGAAAAACCATTGACTTTCCTGAGAGACAGGGCTATCTTCTGTGCTAACAAGATTATGGTGAGCTTTGGAAGTCAGATGTTGATTAGCATTTCCTCTGTCAGGGATCACACTGCAGCAGCTCTTTCTTAGCATTCAGTCTCCCTACAGGGGCAATAGGAGACAGTAAATGCTCTGGCAGGAGGAAAACATAGAAATAAAATAGAATTCTGAAAACCTGGGTAGGAGTACTGGTCCTGCTTTGTAACCATTGCCACAGATGGTTACCATGAGAACACTTTCTTTCCATAACAAGAGAGACTTTTTTTCTTATTTTTGGGATTTTGGAGAATACTATTACCACAGAAAAGAAGGGGTGCTTTACTAATAAAGCCATTGGTACATCCACAGAAAAAATGCTGGTGAATTTCCCCTTGTAGATAAGCTTAAGAAAAAGAGCCTCAAGCTGATGAAAGAAAACAGGCCTTTACTGTTTTATATTTGAGCTATTTTGAAGAATGGCTTGATATCTTTGAGTCTATTAGGGAAGCAATTTTCCTCTTTTGTCCATGTGCTCCTCAGGAACAGCTTGAGAGCATTGGAACCATCAAATATTAATCAGAAACACAAATGTGTAAAAACCTGAAAACTGGAGCACTGTGCTGGAACAAATGGGTGGGATTTATCCCTCTTTCCAAGGTGCATTAAGCAGGCCAAGACTAATGTAACTTTCTGTGTCTGTCAGAAAATGCATTTCTTTGACATTTCACTCTATTTGTGTACTATTAGGGGAGTCCCACAGGAAAGCTTTAAGCTCTAACAAATTCTATGTACTAGATTACTTAACTAATCAAAACTTGCTCTGTAGCTTTTTATGAGTAACTTATATTTCCCTTGAGGACTAACCCACAGATGATTTTACTTTTTGAAACCCATGACCTTCCTCAGAGTGGTTTTTTATTTTTCATTTTTTAAGAGAAAAGCATGGGCCACTTCCCCTGGGTTCACAGAAAATGGGTGACCAATATACCAAATTAAGTCAATTATATTTCTCTCTCTCAAAAAAAAGCATTTTCCAGTGACTTCTCTAAGCCCAAGGTACTTGAAGGAGGAGGGCTTACCATATTGTAGCAACTCAGGAAGAGGATTTATACAAAGTTTATTTGACAAGGCATTTTCCGCAATACTCCCTGCACATATATGAGCTGTGGCTAAGGCAGAAATGTATCTCTCATAGGTCAGTCCACTTTCCTAATTACATTATCGTATGTTTTTTACTAAACTTTTCAGCTGTGACATCATATTCTGTTGCCAGGTGACAAAAGCGATGTCATAGATTTGGTTTCTTTGGGGTTTAGGCATAAGATCAATTGGGAACATCTGGTTCTTTTTCAGGAACAGGAATGTTAGGGGAAAATGAGACAAAGACTTGTAAGCATAAACCCAAGAACAGAAACTCCAGAGGGGAAAGGCTTCTCTCCTGCCTGTGAGGTGAGAAAGGTGGGAGCTGGCACAGAGACAGGCAGTTGTATAGCCCATTTATTGGTGACTTGGATTTGGGAGGCTGGTAATTCCTGCGTCACAAAAGAAAAGGTGAAGGGTCCATAATTCAGTAGCCAAGTCTTATGGATCCTGATGTGTGGGCTGGCTTTCTTTGTTTGGCTGGCAGTCTCACAAAGTTTGCTACTGAGGAAGATCTAATTGCTGAAAAAGCCAGAAAGTGCAGTTTTCTAAAGGTCTGCAATAGGTATTCAGAGACTGAAATTATTTCACAGTGGGAACTTCTGGTGTTTGGAGCACCATTTTGCTGCTCTTAGCCGGTACTAATGGGACTCATTGAACCCCTGTGCACTTCTTTCCCTGAAGGGTTTAAAATTCAGATTACATTTTGGTAAATCTTTGAAAATCCCCCACATCAAAAACCACAAGAAGCTTGGGGCAGAAATCACATCACATTCATCTTCTAAATACACAGATAACAAAAAGCTTGATCCTCCTTATTTTACTGTAATTGAAGCAGACCTAGATCCTTATCGGGGAAGACTGATAGACTGCAGAGGTACAAAACACAGAGAAAGGCAGAAATAAAAACAAAGCCTTTGACAGCAATTGCACATAGAAAAGTTTCACTTGATAACTGTCTCACATTAAGATTACTCATTTTATGACATGACCTGCTTTCTGTCACCATACTCTGGCTTCCTGGGTAGGGTAATGAGCTGAAACTTCACTGATGTCACTGGATATATTGCAGTTCACATCAAGCATCATGTACATTCCAGTGCTTCATAAGGATCTAGTTTCACTTGTCTCAGCCTTCTCTATCCCTGGTTCAATAAAACAGCACTTTGGCTTTTCGGAACTTTTACTTTCAGCGTATTTCAAACTGACATCAGAACAGCACCCCAACAAAAGCCAGACCTTTCCATCCTTTAACAGTCCAGCACTGTTGGTATCAATAACACAAACCCAGTATACTAAAGTGATCATACAGGTTAGAGTGACTCCATTAACTGAGCTGGGTTGGAACTGTGTATAGCATTGCTTGCTGGGACATAGTGCCTGTCAGCCTAAGAGTGCATCTGACTGCCATTGAACCCCCACTACCCTCATCTAGCATGCCCCAGGTCTAGGGCTGGAGTGAAAAACCAGGGAGCTCTAACAATCTCCTTTGTTTTCCGTTACTAGAGATTGACACAGTAAAGTCTTTCAGAGCTATTAAATTTGCTCTTTATTGCAAATACATAGTTCTTAACTCTGCTGCTAGTAACAGCTGATGTTCGAGTTTACTAAACATATAAAAATTACTATAAAAATACCAAAGATAGTGGTACCTTGAAGAAAAGATTTGGAAGGCTCATTATGATGTCTTTCTGTGCAGTTAAATAATTCAGGCTATAAGCAAAGACAAAAGCCTCTCTGTGTAGGTATGAATTACACTATAATCAGGGCTCCACAACCTCCCCAGCACAGCACCTGACTTCAGCTTGCCCTGTTGCCCTTCCCCACTACCTAAGGATCGCGCTCAAATAAGGTTTTCTGATATAGAAGATGCATTTAGTTCATGCTGTGGAGACACATTTTAATTGAAAGGTTGCTCTGAAAAGCTCTGATAGCCAAAACATTAAGCAACAACAAATGGGAGACAATTAAAAATGCTTACTGTGATTACACAAAACCCAGCATGTTGGCACAAAATCTTGAAGTTTTACCACAAAAGCTGAAAATCAAGGCTTGAAGGAGCCCATGCTTGGGCTTTAATTTGACAAAACTTCCCCAGTTTTATCCACTCAACTGCTTGCTGTCATGGCTTAACAAAATGCAGTGTTCTTCCAGGAGATGTATCACATCTCATGTAGAAAGCTGTCGAGTAAATAGACAGGGAAAGACCCTACATATCCCATTGACAGAAGATATGTAAAACCTGCAAAAGGGTGTTCTTGGCTGGTCAGCTCTTCTCTGTTTGGCAGTGATGCTCCTAGTGCAGCACACTCCTCTCTGTGTCCTGTACGCGTGTTTTCAAAGGTTGGTCTGCTCCCAGACATTTGTCATTGACTTCCAAACCCAGGGAGCCAGGGTCACTTCTGCATAACATGCATTTCTCATTGCCGATTTCACCAATGTTTAATAAATATCAGATGCGACACAATGTGCCTCATTTCACTGGACACATGCTTTTTTCCATTCTTTCTCCCAACTTATTTTAATAAGAGCTCTGGTTTTTCTGCCTCGCTGTTGGGAAGACATCTGGCCAAACAGACAGCAACCTAGTACAAAGAGATCCTGCTGGCTCACATGCTTTGGGGACCCCCTTCTCTGCGAACCAAGATGGTCACAAAAAAATATGCAAGTGAGACATCCCCCTGTTACCAGGCTTTGTAGTATTTGTTTTTATAGCATTGCATTCCAGAGACTGAAGACTTTGTTCTCACACAGGGGGTATACATCTGCAGATTCCTTTTGGGCTCCAAGAAGAGGTTTTGATAAAGGAGGAGCTGGGCTTTTTGGTTTTTGTTTGTTTGTTTGTGGTTTTTTTGTTGTTGTTGTTCCATGGTTTTTAATGGGAGACTAAATATCTTTGCTCTTTGACCACCTTACAAAATGCCTGACTCCTCAACTGTGTTATGCTTTGAACACTGGAATATGACATATACACACACTTTTTTTCCTGAATAATTCTCTTAGGAGTATTTGCCTACGTGTTCTTTTCTTGGCTCTTGCTGCAGGATCATAGGTGGCCTCATAATATTTCTGCTAGCAAATCAGTTTTGACATAGATGCAAGGTTCCCTTCATAACCCTGACAAAAAATGTACTGATAAGATGAAGAAATGTAGTGCAGGAAACAAAAATACATTAGTTCAGAGGGGTTTTCCCTGCGGCGATTCACTGAAAAGAGATAACATCCCTTGAATTTCAGAAGGAAGACTGCAAGCCTAGTTGGCAGCCTTCAAATGATAAATTTCTCAAAGGTAAGGTTTTCAAAGCTGATGAGAGGTAGATCTAATGCCTATATTTAAAGAGACATGAGCAAACTAGGATAATAAAAAGTGTTTTTATAAATACATTAATAGCAAAAGGAGGAACAAGGAAAACCTTCATTCTTTATTGGATGTGGGGGGAATATAGTCACCAAAGATAAGGAAAAGGCCGAGATACTCAACACCTTCTTTGCCTCAGTTTTCAACAGTAAGACAGGTTATCTTCAGGACAACTGGCCTCCTGAGCTGGTAGACAGGGATGGGGAGCTCACCCTGTAATCCAGGAGGAAGCAGTAGTGA